GTACGTGCCCAAGATCACAAGAGGAGAATGGAAGAGAGGGGGTTGTGTCCTGACCATTCCCCTTGGGGGTGATTTATCACTTTCTCTCTCTCTGTCTCTCCTGTGAGTGCACGTGCCCTATAGCAAAAACTCTCTTAAAAAAAAAAAAGGCACCTGCAGTTGGCATAATGGCTGCGTTGCTGGATTCCCATGTAGTCAACTGTGGTTCGAGTCTTGGACCCAGTGGCTTAAACTTATGCTGGGTGCGTGTACATGTGTGCCCAAGATCCTGAGAGGAAAAGGGATTACAACATGGCCATCCCCCCTGGTGGGTGATTTCTCACTTTCTGTCTCTTTCTGGTGAGTGCATGTGCCTTATAGCAAACACCTCTCCAAAAACCCCAAATAAAATAAAAAAAGAAAGACTATTTTTAAAATTTGTTGTAGAGCACATGTGCTCTCCAGAGATAGAGAGAAAAGTGAGAAAGCAAGCCACAGGTCCAAAAGTTGAACCAGTCAGCCATGTGAGACCAGTACCTTAACCAGCCACCACCACCTGCTGGCCTTGAAAATTTTTTTTAAGAAGACTTATTTAACTTTAACTAATTAATTTATTTTAATTTAACCAGAAAGGGACAGAGTGAGAGAGAGGGAAAGTGAGAAAGCAAGTCACCAGGTCTGGGACTTGAACTGGGGTCAGCCATGTGGGAGTCCAGTGCCCTTAACTACCACACCATCTGCAGGCCCCCCCAATTTTTTTTTTTTTTTTTAATTTTACCAAAGGGCACATGTGCTCATTGGAGACAGAAAGTGTGAGAGGAAAATGAGAAACACCCCTGTGGGGAATAGTTACACCACAATCACTTCTCTATTTCTCCTTCTTTTCAGGATTTTGGATGCACACCTGTTTTTTTTTTTTTAAGTTTCTGGATCCAGGAGTCAAACTGTGAGATCAGCCATGTGGTATCATCACCTTAACCACCATACCATAGGCTGGCCCAGAAAATGTTTCTTATTGGGTTGCAAATAAATATGGAAGCAGTATACCAACTACCTCAATGACTGAGACACACTTTCCCACATGTACTGTCCAGGTCCTGGGTACCACCACACCTATGAAGTCTGTGACGACAAGTCATAAGTAGGTGGAAATGTACCTGGAATCAGAACAGTCCTCTTGTGTCATACAGCGGTGCAGGGTCCACTCACACCTGCTCTAGAGCCTTCCTCTCTAACTAGTGTCCGGGAGAGCCTCCGATCTCCTGAGAAATGTTCTGCTCTGTATGAGCATGCAATGGAATTGTGAAAAAAATAAAGATGACAAAACACAGCTGTTACATCTTTTTTTTTAATTTTAAAAAATATTATTCTAAAACAGAAACTCCATTAATAAAGTTATAGGTCTATTCCAATAGTTTAACATATCTTTTGTTAACATTCCACTCAGAAGGTAGAAAACCACAAAGTTCTTCCGTAAGGAAGAGTGCAAATGGAACTGTAATATTGCATTATTATTCTGTATTGAATGCAAACTCTGAAGACAAGGAAATACAATCGTTTAATAGTTTCTCTCTAAATCATTTTTGCTGAGGAACTGCTCACTTTATATCCTAGGTGCTGCCTTGTTGAGCACTGCCCCCATAACATAGCAGTGATGAACTTGCACCAGTTAGCGTAATAATGCTGCCTACATCCAGTCTGCAGGACAGCTAATGGACAAGCCCTCTGCACCACATGTCAATCAAGTAGAGAAACCACATACAAATGAGCTCTACCCAAATCCTCCAACTTAACAATTTTTAAACAGCAAACACATAGTCAAGATCATCTGAACACCATACCCAGAAGCACAAACGTACTTGTTTCACAAATGTTCAGCTTCCTAATAATGGCACCCTGCATCAGTCAAGGGCATATCACATTTTGAAAAATCAAGAGTGAGACATAAACAAACAAGGGCATTTGCAGGAGGCAGAAAATCCTGTTCTTAGGGGCAGACAGAAAAAACCTGGCTAAAGAAATAGGTTCACAGGTATAATTAGAGCTTGATTCTCTGAGTATCAATCCTGGAGTCATAGTTTCACAGATAGTCTTAATAGTTTACATTAGTATTTTCTTATACAACAATTAAAAAAAAAAACAAAAACTACCAAAACCCAATCCAAGTCATATTTCCTTCACTTTACTCTAGGCTGGTTAGTGGGGTCTCATGAGATGGTGCAGCCTAATGTTCTAAGGAAAACACTCTGGTTTCAAGATGATGCCTTGCTATAGTCATTATTACTTAGTTCAAAGTAAAAAATTAAATTCAGAAAGTTGTGAAATAATGAAGTTTTTTTTTTTTTTAAAAGTGAAAAACAGGAGATTTAAGGTGATAACTCTTAAGAGTAACCTTAAGAGTTACTTGTCTTAAAATTGCACCCTTGAAATGGTTCATAGCAAAATCTAATTTCCCATTAGTTTCATCGAATGGGTGAAACCACTGTCAGTAGCACTGGGACTGCCAGACCAGGCTGCTCCAAGGCCATTACCTTCTTATGAAGCCATGGAAAGAAAGTAACTCTGGTGCCATGTGGGGGGGTTTGCACTTATCCCAAGCAAGACAGTTTGGTCTGCTCAACCCCACTGTGTGCCTGTGAGAAGAGAGTGAGGCCATTTCCACAGGATGCTTAAGGACAAGGAAATTGAGCTCATTCTGGAGGGTGTGAAAATCTCATGTACAAGGAGCTTAAATGTCAATCTTACCAGCTTTTTTTTTTTACTGGAATAATCTATTTGTTAAGTACACACCACAGGAGTGCCCCCACCATCTGGAAAAAAGAACAGGTAGAAAAATACACATTAATAATAGTAAAGAAAGTATTCAGGGCCACCTGAGACATGGTGTTTAAAGTGGCTGGACTTCACATGGCCAAACGTGTGGTCTGAGTCCTGGAGCAGCTTGAGAAACATGTTGGACTTGTGTGTAGCATGCCTGAAATCCCAAAAAGAGGGAGAAATGGAGGGGAAGTGATTGCAGCATGACCATGCCCCATGAGGGATGCCTTCTCACTATATCCCCTTTTCTCTAATGAATGCACACACCCTCTGGAAAAAGTTATTTAAAAATGTATACACTTGGGGACCGGCAGTTGGCGTAATGGCTATGTCACTGAACTCTCATGTAGTCGATTGTGGTTTGAGTCCTGGACCTGGTGGCTTAAACTTATGCCGGGCGCGTGTGTGTGTGTGCCCAAGATCCTGAGAGGAGAAGGGATTGTGGCATGGCCATCCCTCCTAGGGGGTGATTTCTCACTTTCTGTCTCTCCCTTTCTGGCGGGTGCACATGCCCTATAGCAAAAATACCTCCAAAAAAAAAGAGTATACTTCCAAGATAGGCAAAAATGTGGTTTATGTTAAAGAATAAGGAATATATGCAAAATAATTTCACTATGAAATGTCTTGATTCTCATGTAACTCAATACTCATTTCATATTAACCAGATCCAACTGCTCTGATAAATCTCTATTTTATGTGCTTTGAACTATTTCCTTCCTCAAATTTTCTGAATTACACTACTAAAAGTTACTTGTATTAATGTAATCTGGATTTTGAGAAATCAGTACCAGCCAATGGTTGGCTGTCAAAACTTAAAAGCAATAGACTTGAAGAACCTCCACAATCATGATCACTAAATAATAAGCGAAATTCTTAAACCTGGGCCATAGCACATAAAATGCCCTAATTTTTGGACAATGGTCATCACACCCTTCTGTGTGCTCACGCTGACACGCTGGCTTTGCAGTTTATGCTCTGCAGGAGAGCAGGTAACTCTAGCACAGAAGAAACTACATAATGCGGAACGGGGGATGACTTCAGTGGCACTATTCCATTTTTATTTATCCAGACTGTGGCTTTCAGCCCTGCGCTGAGGCCTCCTTGTATATCGGTTTCTAACGTGTCACCAACCATCACACAGTCCCCAGGCTGCACTCCAAGGAGATCACAGCAGTGGTAAAATATGGAAGGAGCTGGTTTCTCCTCTTTTTGCTCTCCACCTACAACAATGGCATCAAAATAGGACTGACAGGCACAAGCCTCGATCTTCTCCCTTTGGGTCTGTCTGTCGCCATTCGTTAACAAAAGCAAGCGGACCTCCTTTCGCAGGGCAGTGAGCATGGCTTTCACTTCTTCTGCTAGTGTCATGTGCTGTAAACGAGTAGATTTCCACAGGAAGTAACATTCTTCGGCCAAGTTCCGGTTGGCTGTACCACCTTTGGTTTCCTGGATGGCTTCTTCCCAGTGCGAAGTCCTCAGGTCAGTAATGCAAGTGCTATAAGGATGTAAACATTCCCTGCTGAGTTTAACTTGAACTTTATCACAGATGATTTTAGCTTCTTCTTCGTAATGGTATTTCGACTGTAAGAGCTTAATCACCTAAATAAACAAAAATAACTCTATTAACACTTGTCTTTTCCTCTCCTTAAGTTCACTTACTTTTATTTATGATAGAGAGTACATCTGCACTTACAAGAAATAAAGAGAGAGACCAGTAGATGGTGTAATGGTTATATCGCTGGACTCCCATGGAGTCCCAGACCCGGCAGCTTAAAACTCACGCTGGGCACCTATGTGTGCATGCCCAAAATCCTGAAAGGAGAATGGAGAAGGGATTGCGGTGTGGCCATTCCCCCTGGGGGGAGCTCTTTCTTGCTTTCTGTCTCTCTTTGTCTCTATGTCTCTGGCAAGCACATATGCCCCATAGCAAAAATCTCTCTTGAAAAAAAAAAAAAAAAAAAAAAAAAAGACAGAGATGGATGGGGCCAGCAGGTGTTACAGTGCTGGACTCCCATATGAACAACTGCAGTTTGAATCCTCGACCCAGCAGCTTGGAAAATCACACCAGGCACATGTACATGTCCAAAATCCCAGAAAATAGAGAAGGGATTGCAGTGTGGCCATCCCCACTGGGGGGTGGGGGTGGGGGTGGTGTGTGATTCTTCTCTTGGTGTACACACGTGCCCTATAGTAAAAACTTTTTAATTTTAACTAACAAGTCAAGGTTTTTATACCTCCATGGCTATATCACCATCTTTTTTCTTTTTAAAAAAAAAGAATTATTTTATTTAACTTTATTTATTTATTTTAATTTGACCAGAGAGGGAGAGAAAGAGAGAAAAAATGAGAAAGCAAGCCGCTAGGTCCAGGATTTGAACCATGGTCAACCATGTGGGAGTCCAGCACCCTTAACCACCACACTACCTGCTGGCCCTGTCACCATCTTTTCTAGCAACATCAATAAAATTACTCTTTCATTTTTTTAAAAAAGCCTTTGTTATATGGTTTGAGTGCTCATCAGAGAGACAGAGTGAGTAATCACCCACTAAGGGATGGCCATGCAGGCACACACATCTGGCATGATTTTTAAATTGATTGGTCTGGGGCTCGAACCTTGGTCAGCCATGTAGAATCCAGCACCTTAACTACCATACCACCTGCTGGCTCCCTACGGAATTCCTCTTAAGTGATCAATAAGCACTGTGAAGCTTCAGCAGCCCTACTGCTACACAGTAAAAGGATTTGAGGACTGCCAAGGCTTGAGCTCAAATACTGGCTCATGGCTAGTAAACAGAGCTCCCAGGGAAGATCCAAATTCCTATTATTGCAATTGGCAAAATGGTCACATGCTCCTGGGGCTTTGAAAACACAGGATTAGCTTACCTTAAAGGGGAGATGTTGGTGATGGCATACTGCCCTGAGTTTCAAAACACCCTCCTATTACAGCCCTTGAATTATTGTTCCTTTTTGTTACACGGAAACTAATTATAGATTTGTTCGAAATAATATTATTACTAACAAATCATAATTAACAATTATTTATATAATAAAACTATTAACATATTTAGGAAAAAAGTTTATCAGTCATTTACATACTGATTACTAGTTCGAATAGAAATAAAAGCTCAGACAAATTAGTACACATTCTTCTTTTTAAATTAAAAAAAATTTTTTAAAATAATTTTTAAAAAGAATTATTTATGTATTTATTTACTTTTAATTGACCAGAGAGAGAGAGAAACAGAAAGGCAAAGCAAGAAAACAAGCCACCAGGTCTGGGACTTGAACCGCAGTCGGCCACATGGGAGTCCAGCACCTTAACCACCATGCCACCTGCCAGCCCCCAAAATGTGTTTTATTATTATTCATACATTAAATCGCTATAAATCATTTAGATTGTGAAGATATTTTACCTAGCATGATATACACCTCAGTCCAGCCCAGTTGAGACCACCATACACATCCTCGTCAACACATTCTTACAAACTCGCCTAACACCTTCATTGAGAATAAGAGTTTGGATTGAATTGAGGGTGGAGGAAAAACATCTCTAACTTGGAGGTGTGATGACATTTTGTGTATAGGGTAAGGCAGGCATGAAAAGACTGTAGCAAAATGAGCTCACCAGTTTCTTGCAGGCCTGCAGAAAGGGGTCAGCAGGTAGCATTGTGGTTAATGCACTGGTCTCCCACATGGCTTGACTGTGTCAAGTCCCAGACCTGGCGGCTTTCTTCCTCACTTTCTCTTTCTCTGGTGAGTACACATGCCTTATAGCAAATTAAAAAAATAATAATAAAATAAATCTTAAAAAAAAAAGTGGGATATCAGATTGTAGACTGAATATAAACTCAGACTTCACCCACTGTAAAAGCTTATCTAAGACTTGTTCTTAACATAAACATAAAGGAAATTATATTCTACTTCCTCAAGTAAAGATAATATTATCGGGAACCAGCAGTTAGTGTAATGGCTATGTCGCTGGACTCTCACGTAGTTGACCGCGGTTCGTGTCCCGGACCCGATGGCTTAAAACTCACGCCGGGCACGTGTGCGTGCGTGCCCAAGATCCTGAGAGGAGAATGGATTGCGGCGTGACCATCCCCCCGGGGGGTGATTTCTCGCTTTCTGTCTCTATGTCTCTCTCTGTCTATCTGGCGAGCGCACACGCCCTACAGTGAAAACCTCTCCAAAAAAAAAAAAAAAAAGATAATATTATCAATACTAGAGTTTAGCTAACTGATTTTAAAACACTTTTTGAGGGCTAGTTTGGGAACCATATAACACTTCCTAACACTGTGACTAAAAAGCATTTTCTGACTACCAATTATAAGATGTGAAAAGATTGAGTTCCAAATAAAACTGATGTTAAAACAAGGCTCACAAAATAAGGTGAATGCTTGCACACAGCCTAAAATTCAAATAGTACTTCAGTTATTTGGCCATGTGGGAATTCTGTATCCATCACGCTACCTGCTGACCCCATCTGTTATTTTTTAAAAAAATTATTTAATTTTATTTATTCATTCACTTAGTTTCTATTTTGACCAGAGACAGACAGAGGGTGAGAGTGAGAGAAAGAGGAAGTGAGAAAGCAAGCCACCAGATTCAGGACTCGAACCCTGGTCAGTCATGTGGGAGTGTCCTGTGCCTTAACCTCCACGCCACCTGCTGGTCCCCCCATCTGTTATTTTGAATTAAAATATCTGAACATCAGCTACTCAGTGAGGCCAAATTTGACCAACTTCTTTAAAACTGTAATAGTTTCTCCTCTCATTTTTTCTAACACACCTACAAATATAAATGTATTAGATTCATCATGGTCATTGTACATTTACTAAAGTAGTGTAGATTCACAATGCAGAAATCTTTTCTGCTTTGTTTTCTGAGAAACTACAGGTTCCTGTAGGCTTCCTTTCCAGTAATGACACTGGAAGATATGCTTGAAGAAAATGAAAAAAAAAAAAAAATCTCCTAGATGATTAAAAAAGTAAAATTAAAGGTAATATATAGTCAGTATATGACCCCTTCTCCCCAAGTCCAATGCCATGACTAAACTTTTTTCCCTCCTCCATTCCTAAATGAAAGCTGGCATGTTATGTGAATAGGTCAACATTTATACATGACATCATATACTTATATGATAAAGTATTCCTTGTATAATCAAAAGCACACAGTTCAATTATGGTTAGCCTATCCACTCTTTCAGCATCCATGCAACATTTATCAGCTTGCTCCCTCTCAAGGAACTATTTAGCTGATTACGCTAATCATAACAGCCTTTGGCTAGTGCATTCAGAGATATCTGCACACAATTAAGAGTAAGTAAGTAGGGGTGCAGAGATCTGGGAGAAATAAAATCTAGCTTTTGTTTTATGATTTTTAAAAAATTGCCAGAGGGCATATGCACTCACCAGAGAAGACCAGAGACAGAAAGAGGGGGAGAAAGTATCCTCACTGGGTGTGTGCTACAATTCCTTCTCTTCCATTTTTCCATCCTGTCAGGATTTTGGGCATGCACACACATGTACCCAGCATTTTATTTCATATTTTAGGATTTTGCCATAGGGTGTGTGCACTCATCAGAGAGAGACAATGAGAGAGAAAATGAGAAATTACCCTCTTGGGGGATGACCAAACCACAATCCTTTCTCCTCTTTGGATTTTGGGCATGCACATACACATGCCCAGCATGATTTTCAAGTTGCTGGGCCTGGGACTTGAACTGAGGCCTGTCATGTGGAGTTTAGTGCCTTAACCATGATGCCACCTGCTGGCCTGCTCCAGTATGTTTTCAAGCCACTGGGGTCAGAAGTTCAACCACAGTTGGCCACTAGACCACAAAAAATGTCACTGTGGCAGGAAGGTGGAGGATGAATTGGATGTGGTAAGCCTGGTGATAACATAATAATAGCCTGAGAGAGGAGTCCAGCTCTAAGTAAAACAGGGCCAGGATGGAAGGGGTCAGTTGGGCAGGGTGGATGGTGGTATATTCACTGAGTGAACGCTGATGCTATGTACCATACTTCGCATGTATTACATCAACCTACCTGATGGGGTTGTCAAGGACTGACATAAATCCTTAAATTTTATAAGGAGGATCTGAGGTTCAGAATCCAGAAGTAATTTGCTAAGGTATTTTTAGCGAGGCGCTGGGAAAACCTGCCTTTTGGTCCTTAGCAGTTCTTCCTAAAACGAGCATTTATTAATAATTGCAACACATTGGATCTAGCTTGCCAAGAACACACAGGTAAATATGCATTGTTCCTAGCTAGAGAAACAGGAGGCAACACAGCAGAGCACCGAGGTAAAGGTCAAGGTTATAAAGATGGCAGGAAGAGCCAACAGGTGGACTGCTTCAGTAGTCGTTAGTACAGACATTAATGTCCATAGATTCCAGCAATTCGAGAAGTGGCTAAGGACCTATAAAGCCTATTTTATTGTAGTGACAAAGGCAGAACCTACATTGGACTGACTGAGGGATAAATAAAAGGTAGAGACGTGGAAATAATGGGCATAGATAACTTCTGAGAAAATGTCTGTCCAGAGATAGGCGCCATCTAGCGCAGGAAGAGGTGAAGGGAGGTGTTCTTTATTTTTTTAAGCAGGGACAGCCATGAATTTGGATAGGAGTGGACCACATTAAGAATGACACAGTACAATGAGTTGAAGTTCCAGGAAGACAAAAACTCCTGGAGGGAGCATGAGGAGGGTTGGGACCATTTGCTTCCGAAAGGGCTCTTTTCACACCTGACAGAACTTCCTTTTTACCTTGAAACTGAAGGCAAAGGGGGGAAAGCAGGAGTGGAGATCCTGAAATGGACTCCCTGAGCTGCACGGACTTTGCGGTATCACCCCAGAAATGCCCAGGGCCACGGCCCCTGCAAGGAGCTGGGGGCAGCTCTGCAGAGAAGTCTCTGAAGCACTGTTTGAGTGAGGGCTCGTCGCTGACAGCTGAGTAACTTCTTGGGTCAGAAATGGGACTGCCCTATCTGCGTCTCCCCGAAGATCCTCGGAAGATCACACGGTAGGGTGACGACCCTCCCAGGGGCGACCACCGAGAGCCAGGCGAGCGCACCAGTCCTGGCCAGACCCGGTGCATCCAGGCTGGAGCCCCCCGCCACTCTGCAGTCGTGGCACTTTTAAAGTCATCCTTCCGGGTCCCAGGCGCTGGAACCATCTGCAAACATCCAGCCCCAGGAGCCGGGCGCCAGGCAGGTAGACCGGGCCGCCGGGCCCAGGGAAGGCACCTCCCGGCACTGACCTCAGCCCCCTCAGCCCAGGGACAGCCCACGGGCAACCCAGGTCTCAGAAGACTCAGCGGTCAGTGTGGAGGCGTTGGAGCCGGCTCAGGGAACCGGAAGGCAGGAGGTAGGGGCCGGGGCGCGCTGACCCGCCGGAGCGGGACGTTACCTCCAGCATGCCTCTCCTGCTGGCCTCCGCAGTGTGGATGAGCGTGTTGTCCAGGTCAAAGAAAACGGCCCGCACCCGGCTCAGCCCCATAACGCGGGCCGCGCGCTCCACGCGCCCAATCCTAGACGTGTGCGCCTGCGCAAGAAGAGTAGGCGCGCGAAGGAGGGGTGGGCGGAGCCTTGAAGTCACCTGACCCTTCCTCGTCGCCTGGAGCCCCGCAGTCCCCGGCTGTAGCCTCTGGAAACTCCCGCGAGATGTCGCGATTGCTGAGCGTTTGAGAACAGCGAGATCCCGCGAGACTCCAGAATCCTGGTCTATAAAATGCACCCGAGGCAGACGTTTGCCTGGCGTGGTTATCTCGGCAGCGCTCAAACGGGGCATGTTCGGGAGTGCGGTGTTCTTCTGCCACCTTCTGCAAGTCTGTTGTCGCTGGCCCGCCCTGCCTCACTGCCCAGGGTGGGCCTGGTGCGCGGCTGCCGCCTTGAAGAGGCGCTGAGGGGCCGGCCACTGGGGTCAGGCAGGTATCTCAGGAGAGGGGCTCCAAGGCCTGACAGCCCGTGTTTTCGGGCCTCATTTCACCTTTTTTTATTTACTGTCATTGACTGTACATCAATACAGTATACAAAAAGATTTTTCCATCCAGTATACATTGTATATGGGCTCAATCAAGAATATTATCATACATGTTATCAGGAACAATTTTCTATTTCTTGTTTCTTGCATATTCCCCTCCCCCGCCCCCATTGCCTACCTCTCACCGTCTGCCGACTCCCCCCCTTCTCCCATGCTGTCTGGTCTGTTCAGTTGTTTTCTATGCCTGTTTTTTTTTTTTATCCACATTTTGATTCAGTAAAGATCTTAATTAATTTAAAGACTTTTAATAGCAAGCACAGCTGATATATACATATTTATGAACTCATGTCTGACTTTCAGCATAAATCTCAATGAGTAAAGTGAACATACTATATAAAGTAGCACTCTCTGGGGCTATATAGTTTATTGCAGTCATTGAATAGGTATTGAGAGGTATTTTAAAATGTATTTTCAAATTTCAGAAAAAGTTTTAGTTTTAATAGATCAAAATAAAAGTGTTATGAGAAATTTGCTTACAATGTAAAAGCCAGGAAAAAGGTTAGGATTCAGTTCAAATAGGTATATAAACCTATCAACAGTTCAAGAGAAGACAAAAATCCTTAAATACAGAAATCAAAGCATCGAAGAAAATCAGTAATGTTCTAGTCTAAAATTAAAAGATCTATTTCACCAGTTCAGAATCACATAATTAATCTCTCTACTATTGAATTTGCAGTGTTAGTGTGGTCTGATCTTTCCTTTTAACTCTGGAAGTTAACATTCAACCTAATAGTAGACTTGTCCCTACTATTAGGCTGGCTGTTCTCTTGGTTGTTTCTTGTACTCTTATTTATTTCTGTGTGTCTGACTAGTTTTCCTGGTAGAGCACTGCCTTTAGCACTTCTTGGAGAGCTGGTCTGGTGTTGGTAAATTCAGGTTTTGTTTATCTGAGAATGTTGTCTTTTTTTCTCATATGAAAGATAATCTTGCAGGGTATAGTATTCTTGGTTGAAATTGTTTTTCACTTAATACTTTCAATATATTTTCCCATTCTTTCCTTGCTTGTATTGTTTCTGAGTAACTTGATGTTTCTCTCTTGCCAATTTCAGTATCTTGTCTCTGTCTGTGGTTTTGGTCAATCTGGTTATGATGTGCCTTGGGGAAGATCTTCTTGGGTCAATTCTATGTGGGATCCTTTGTATTTTTTGGGTCTGGATATTCGAGTGCCTCTCTAGGTTTGGAAATTTTCTTCCAGGATCTCATGGAATAGATTATCAATGCCCTTATTGGTTTCTTCACCCTTGGGGATACCAATGATCCAGATGTTTTGGTGTTTAATGGTATCTATGTTATTCTTTTTTTTTTTTTTTTGTCATTTTCTCAGTCTTATTGGTGAGTTTCTCTAGGTCAGAGGTTCTATCTTCTACATCTGAGATTTGATCTTCTGCATGATCTAATCTGCTTTTGATATTTTCAACCAAAGTTTTGATTTCTTGTATTACAGCCTTCATCTCTAACAATTCCATTTGATTTTTTTTAGAATGTGTATCTCCTGTTTCAGATTGTGCAAGAACTTCCTCACCTTCTGGAACTCAGTATCTCTTCTCCTGCATCTTCTGGAGTTTGCTGTCTCTATTCTCTTGCATCTCTGTTAGCTTTGTCACTATAAATATTTAAAATTCTTTACCTGACATTTCCATGAGTTCCTCTGCATTCTTTGTGGAGGGAGAGCAGTTATTCTTTTCCATTAGTGGAGAGATATTTTCTTCATTTCTCACATTTCTTGTGCCTCTGTTGTACTCTCTGGTCATTTGGTGGATTATACATTTTTTTTTCCTATTTTTGGGAGTTAATTCTGAGCAATCAGAGGAATGTAGAAGGAGGTAAACAGTACCATTTTTTCCCCTTTACACAGTTGAGTCAATGAATATTGAAGATTAATCGACCCTAAAAGTATTCAGATATTTGGCTACTGAGCACCTAGATAGACCTATCTAGAAAATCAGTGTGTGGAGGCTGAGCAGAAAAGTGAGAAAGGTAAAAAGAAAAGGAAAAGAAATAGGGGAAAAAAACAAAGAAGAGAAAAAATAAGACAAAAACAATAAAAAAAGAAGACAATTTTTTTCTTGTCAAAAAATGAAAACCGCTACTCAGAACTCAAATACAGATGGCTGCTGGTTGGCTTATCCTATGGGAGCAGGGGAAAAGGTAAGAATTAGAAAGACAAAAAAGCAACAGAGAGCTAAGTTTAAAAATTAAAAAATAATTTAAAAAATATAGAGAGAGATGGAAAGAGACAGAATAAGATGAGTGCTCTAACCTGGTTCCTGGCTAGACTGGAAAGCAGGAGGGTGAAGTTGGGGCAGAAGGTCTTCGGTGGTCAAAATCCATTTTCCTGACTTTCTGATGCTGGATTTCCCCAGAGCAGCTTAACTTCCTCCCTCAATGGAAATTGTGTTAGTTTTCATGGCTTTAAATACCATCTCTCTTTCTCTATGCAAAATATACATTATTATGTCTTTCCTGAATTTGTTTTATTTCTTCCATGAGTGAGAGTGTGACACACACAGCACCCACAACAAGGGGTGTATCTTTTCTTTTTCTTTATTCTTGACAAAGTGTGTGTGTGTGTGTGTGTGTGTGTGTGAGAGAGAGAGAGAGAGAGAGAGAGAGAGAGAGAGAGAGAGAGAGAGAGAGAGAGAGGGGAAGGAAGGGAGCGGAAGGAGGAAGACAGAGAATAGCACCCTCCACAGGGCTCAGTCATGTCATGATCTAACAAGCTAAAAGCTTGTTAGGATTCTGGGCATGCACCTAGTGAGCTCAGGTCAGATGAGCTAGAATTTCAACTGTAGTCACCATGAAGCTTCAGCACTGCAGTCTGGTAGGTTACTGGCTATGCCACAGACACGGTCTTGATGTTGTGACCCACCCCCAGCCTCAGCCAGTTCTGGATCATGGGCATAGGCACACCTAGTGTGCTCAGGGAGGTCTCCAGATGTGAACCCAGAACATTCTACATGGGTCAGCCGTGTAGAACATTGTTACAACTGTGCCATTGTCCCTGAATTCTTAAGAGGTGGATTTGCCAACTCTTTCCAGACCCAAACACCAAGACGGACACCATCCACATCTGAGCTGAGCCCTACCCTTTTCACAGACTAGGGTAACTGAAGGCTCTCTGTTCTAAACCTCTCCTTCCAGATCAAAACACCTAGACAGGTAGGGTACTCTCTTTCTGCTCTCTGTCACTCTTTAAATTCTTTTTTGGGGGATCAGCAGGTGGCATGGTATTTAAGGCACTGAACACTCCCACATGGCTGACCATAGTTCAAGTACTGGACCTGGCAGCTTGCTTTTTCACTTTCCCTCTCTCTTTCTCTGTGTGTGTCTGATCAAATTAAAATAAATGAATGAATAATTAAAATAATTCTTTTTAAATATTTCTTTTTCCTTTTTTTGGAGAGGTTTTTGCTATAGGGTGCTTGTGCTCACCAGACAGACAGAGAGAGACAGACAGAAAGCGAGAAATCACCCCCCAGGGGGGATGGCCAGCCTGCAGTCCCTTCTCTATTCTCTTCTCGGGATCCTGGGCATGCATGCACACACGCCCGGCATGAGTTTAAGCCACCGGGTCCAGGACTTGAACCGCGGTCGACTAAGTGGGAGTCCAGCGACATAGCCATTACACTAACTGCTGGTCCCCTCAATATTTTTAAAAAATTTTAAATTTCAATTTCTTTTATACATTCAATCACATGTTAATTAGCTTGCAAAGTGAATATTCCAACATGTGTACATTTCTCATCAGCCCAAAATAAAATAATTCTTTAAAAAAAGTTTTAAAAAGTTTTAAAAAAAGTTTTAAGTACTGTATTTTGCCCCTGACCTCTCCTTTCTATTTCTCTCTCTCTTTAGGACATGTTCCACATTTTATTTACACTTTAAGACTAATTTAATCTCAAAATCACATATCCATATACACCTATTTCCTTTTTGTTGACTTCACTTCAACTTAAATGCATGGTTTGTTAAACAAAATTGTAAACAAATATTTACCATGTCTGTTACATGTAACATGCAGGAAAGGCTTTTAGCAGAAGTACATTGATACAAGCCCCAACATTTTTATTATTATAAATACAGGTATCAAGCAATCCTGAACATATTTTTGATACTACTTGTTGTCAGCACCCACACTACTTCAAAAATTAACACAATTTGTGACAATATTTATTGTACCTACTACTTTAAACAATTTTTACTACAGCTCTTTCACTAAGTGAGATGGATAAAGCATGCCATTTCTGCTTTTCCTTCTTGAGATTTTTTACTTTTCAGAAACACACATGCTTACACCACTGCTATCTGACACTTCTTGCCATGCTTTCATCTTGAAAACTTGAATTCTATTTAGTGTACTCCAGGCTTACATTTAAGTCACAGTGCCTTAACAAGAGGAAAAAAAATTGTACTGCATTTTCCCTCTTGTTACCTGAAAACATAATGGGTGTACATATATTAAATATATTCTTATAAATGTCCAGTCACATTTACCATCTGGAATTTTTTTACTTAATGTGTGGG